GCTGCTACTCTGAAACCTGAGATACTAGTGGATACATTCCTGCTGACAACGCAAACACCACTCTTTGGGGGTGGAAGGTTTTTGTCGGCAGGAAAGCTGACAAACAGCGGTTACACGGCGCAAGTTTTAGCAGCACAGCTGAAGTGACACAGCCCTGTCACTAAAAGCTGTGTAGTGTAGACACAGCCCAAACCACAAAAGAGATTAAAAGGTTTTTTTGTCAGCTATTCTTATTTCCTTCTTCCAGAAATCAAGGTGATGGGATGAGCCCTTTTACAGGTAGCCTTTTCAGGGGTGTGAAGGAGCAGGTAACAAATTCTTTGTATTGTGATGTCTCAAAATGGCCCATTTAGTTTTGATAGACTGCTTGATGAGCAGGACATGATCCCTCCGCAGAGGTTCAGTTTCAGAGCGAACATTTTTATATTTATAAAGCAAAAAAATAAATATTTTATAACATGTGATAAAGATATGTGAGATTAATGGATGCAGCAATTTACAAGCATTTCATAAAATCAAAACTAAACTATAACTAAACACATTGTTATAAGTCCAAAACCCATCTTAACCTAGCTAACACACAGGTGAAACAGACTGGTTTCCAGCACTGAATTTGTCAGTGCTCAGCTAAGGCCTAAAGCTTTGGCAAGAGCTGGCACCTGGTTTGCCAGCATTACAGAGGCTTTCTGGCTTTTGAGTAAAGTGCTCCAAACTATTCCAAATTATCAGTCACATTTTTCTGATTAAATTCTTTCTTCCAGCTGATTTGACTCATAATTGTTTTCCATCATTGTGAAATTGGATCTTTTAAAGCATCAAGTATATATATGGATTTTATCTGCTTGCACATAATACATATGCTCAAATCATTATCACTTGCACTTAAGTTACCATTAATTTTTAGTTCAGTGATCAGTTCCTCTTTATCTGTCCAGACGAGGTCTAATTTAGAACTCCACCATGTTGGACAAAATAGTTTTTCAGTTAGGCAATTTTCATCTATAGAAATTCCAAGGATGTTTTAGTGCTGGAGGCATGAGACCTCCAACATGTCACTCAAATTGAAATCCCCCATGATCATGCAGGCTTTTTTTCCTGCACAATGTAGACAGGTGTGTAAGGAGCCAATCATCCTGTTCCTTAGTGTGATTTAGTTGTCTGTACCAGACACCAACGAATATCCCATCTTGTGCTTTATCTATTAGGGCATTGATCCATAAGCATTCAAGGACATTTTCTTCTGAGTTCTCAGTGACTTGGGAACAGGTAATGCCATTTTTGACAAAGTGCCACTTCCCCTCCCCTTTTGCCCACTCAGTCCTTCCTAGATAGGTTTAACCATTGATTTTAACATTCTAGCCATGGGAATCATACCTCCAGGTTTCAGTAATACCAACTAGATCAAATTTATGCTCATAAATGAGCAATGCCAATTTTTGTTATTTATTATTGGGGAGAGAGAGAGCTCAGTGGTTTGAGCATTGGCTTGCTAAACCCAGGGTCGTGAGTTCAATCCTTGAGGGGGGCCATTTAGGGATCTGGGGTAAAAATTGGGGATTGGTTCTGCTTTGAGCAGGGGGTTGGATTAGAGGACCTCTTGAGGTCCCCGATATTCTATACCCAGCCTCCTAGCATTGGTTTATAGGCAATTCAAGAATTCCTTCTCTTGATGTCCTTTGGTTCCTCAATTAATTTTGTACTCGACATCTCAGTTTTGTGCTGAGTACTCATATCTTCCCTCTTTTTACCTTCCCCTTTTGTTATTAGTTTAACGCTCTTCTAACTACTTTAGCCAACCTGTCCCCAAGAATATTGGTCCCCCTTTTACTGAGGTGGAGGCCATCCAAACAAATACCACCAACTCTCCCCATAGAAGGTGGAGCAGTGCTCCACAAACCCAAAACCCTGCCCAATGCACCACTTAGCTAGCCAGCGATTCACTTCTAGAATCTTCTGCCTATTGTCTTCCTTTGCTTATGGGACAGGAAGGCTCTCAGAGAAGATCCCTTGGACAGCCTTCTTCAGTATTCTTGTGAGTTCCCTGAGGGCATTTACTATCTTGCAAGATATCCCACTATGCAGTGTCATCAGTGCCAATATGAACCATTATGTCAGCTTCAAAAGCCTATCTAATCTTAGATTTCAGAGTAGCAGCCGTGTTAATCTGTATTTGCAAAAAGAAAAGGGAGTACTTGTGGCACCTTAGAGACTAACCAGTTTATTTGAGCATAAGCTTTCGTCTATATTGCTCCCCAAGGACAAACTGGACTTAGTGATAAATGGTCACTTACACCAAAAATCACACCACATTGGTTTCTTCCAGTCACCCTATCCTAGATCAATTGGTACACTAGATCTTACACCAAAGACACCGCCTGTAGCCAATCCTGTAAAAATCTATCTAAGGGTTTATTTACTCGGAAAAAGAAATGAGTTATTTACAGATTAAAGCAAGCAAACATATACACACAAATGAGTTACCATCTAAATCCTAAGAGTGTCAGAGTTGTTGTGATCTGCCAATTCAAGTCATCTTTCAGGGTGGACCCCGGAGGCAGCCCTTGGGGAATCTCTGGCTTCAGTTTAGAGTCTCTGGCCCTTCAGAATTCAGACAAGCAAAAAGATAGAAAATTTTCTTGTGGTTTTGTTTTACTTCCTTTATTCAGCTTCCAAACCTACAGGAGGAGCTTCCTTGCACATAGCACTTCCCAGGTGCAGTGAGGGCCATTAACCAATTCTCTGTATTGTGATGTTCCTTGATGGGCCATCTGATTTTGATAGCCCTTGTGGATGGGTGAGGGGAGGAGTCTATGCCTGGGTTCATAAGTTCAGAGCACACACGTTCAAAGTTAAAAAGCAAAACTTACATATTTTCTTATAGCATGGAATACAGTTATTGCAAGTGAGATTAATGCAAACAGCAACTTACAAACTTTTCATGGAGCAAACACTAAATACATTCTTATAAGACTAATACCTATTCTGAGTAAAACTAACATACTGGTGAACTGGCCTGGTCTCCAGCTACAAGTTTGTCAGTTCTTAGCTAATGTCTGCAGTCTTGGCAAGAGCTGGCACCTGGTTTGCCAATGTTACACTAATGGTGACAAATTAAATGCCAACATTAACCATTTTAGTAGAAATATCAAGCTAACAGGCTTATTCCCCCCAATCTCTTTCACCTTTCCAGGTTTTAAATAGTTTAGCTGCAGCACGTCTGTCAAAACCTCCAACTTTCTCCAGGACAATTTCTACAATGCAATCATGTATTTTCAATGCAACATTGAACAACTAGATATGCAGGGGCAGCAGCATAATGTTAATTAAAAGCAATATTGAATTAAAGTACACAGCCATCATGGTCATGATGATTCATTTTCATGTTTAATTCAGTAAAGAGGTAACTGTTTTAATTTCTCTAGTGCTGCCAAAGAGTTTCCAATTTGCTTTTCTGGAAGGCTACTGAATCTGGTCCCCACACCATCAAGGTTTGTCAGAGTACAAAGGGTGTGACTGTAGTCAGCATAGCTAATTTCATCAAGAGATGCCACAATGTAAGAGGGTTCCTCAGATAAATAATTACTCTAGGAACTTGTCAGATCAACAGGAGTCTGGTCAACTTCACCACTGCTCTTCAGTGTTTGGCACCCATGAAACTGACAAGAATTATGTCACTTTCAAGTTGGCTTTTGCCAGGTCTTCCAGGGTCCCCAGTTCCTTCCAGCTCACAAGACAGGCAGCTACAGATTCCAAGGAGTTTGGAAGCCCAGGGTTCTCGGTGGCCTACCCAGTTTTGCAGCCTGCCTGGGTTCCATTGGGAGCTCGTGAAAATCTAACCACTTCCACAAGACATTTGATTTTTGATGAATGGGCAAATTCTGATGGAAAGATGTGTCTTGGTAATTTTCCTGACCAGCTCTGCTAAGATTGGCACATAGCGGGATTTAAAAAAGCACCTGAGCAGGTTAGGCACTTTACTCCCATTACAAGCCAATGTGAATTAAACACCTAGCTCATCTGGGCACTTTTGCAAATCCCACAACGCACCTACCTGAATTTTTAGGTACCTAAATACTTTCTAAATCTTGCCCTCCATCCCTTATGATTCTAGCTGTATTCCTCCCTTCCACAGCTGCATTTTGTCATGCTCTCTAATCCTGCATTGTATTCCACTCTGCTGTCTTGCCTTAGTAAGCAATGCATTTTTCCAGGGCTATTGCCCTGATCTTTTTATCAAAACATTTCCCCATCTTGGGAGGCTTTATTTCAATGATTCTGACTTGATTGAAGTGATGAGCTTTTTGCTGACATCTCTTCCCCCTCCCCTCCCACTTTATACCGTTCAGTTGCCTTGCAGTGTTTCTGCTATAGTAAATACAATTCGACTCAGACAATAAGGCTTTGGCCAGGAAAAAGCAGATGATGAGTGTAAAAAACAGACGTTAAACAACCAACCAACCAACCAACCAAAAAGCAGTAACTGAATCTTTACCTTTCTATGACCTCTGTAATATTTAGGAGGATAAAAAGCCACTTCCCTTCCTTCATTTCCTGACTTTTATTGCAATCAGATACTGCTGCTTGTCAAAATGGGATCTGGATGATGGTATCCTGACCCACACACTGTTTGAATGGAATCAATAACTTAACCTTGGGTTTATTATTGTCACTAATCCACAGCCTTCTCTATTAGCGTGGCTAGCTTGGGAAATAAGCAGATAAACCTTCTCGCCTCTTTGCGCTCATTTCCTCCTGTTCCTACACTTCCTCAGAGCCTCCAGCCTCACTGCTTCCTGTGTATCCTTCTCCAATTCTCATCTCCATGCTTTCTTCCATGCAGCCCCTCCTATTTAGAAATCCCTGCCACCTGGGCACAAAAAGCAGCTCACCTTCTCTTCTTAAAACCACTCATTGCCCTGGTCTACACTAGGACTTTAGGTCGAATTTAGCAGCGTTAAATCGATGTAAACCTGCACCCGTCCACACAATGAAGCCCTTTATTTCGACTTAAAGGGCTCTTAAAATCGATTTCCTTACTCCACCCCTGACAAGTGGATTAGCGCTTAAATCGACGTTGCCGGCTCGAATTTGGGGTACTGTGGACACAATTCGATGGTATTGGCCTCCGGGAGCTATCCCAGAGTGCTCCATTATGACCGCTCTGGACAGCACTCTCAACTCAGATGCACTGGCCAGGTAGACAGGAAAAGAACCACGAACTTTTGAATCTCATTTCCTGTTTGGCCAGCGTGGCAAGCTGCAGGTGACCATGCAGAGCTCATCAGCACAGGTGACCATGATGGAGTCCCAGAATCGCAAAAGAGCTCCAGCATGGACCGAACGGGAGGTACGGGATCTGATCGCTGTTTGGGGAGAGGAATCCGTGCTATCAGAACTCCGTTCCAGTTTTCGAAATGCCAAAACCTTTGTCAAAATCTCCCAGGGCATGAAGGACAGAGGCCATAACAGGGACCCGAAGCAGTGCCACGTGAAACTGAAGGAGCTGAGGCAAGCCTACCAGAAAACCAGAGAGGCGAACAGCCGCTCTGGGTCAGAGCCCCAAACATGCCGCTTCTATGATGAGCTGCATGCCATTTTAGGGGGTTCAGCCACCACTACCCCAGCCATGTTGTTTGACTCCTTCAATGGAGATGGAGGCAATACGGAAGCAGGTTTTGGGGACGAAGAAGATGATGATGAGGAGGAGGTTGTAGATAGCTCACAGCAAGCAAGCGGAGAAACCGGTTTTCCCGACAGCCAGGAACTGTTTCTCACCCTAGACCTGGAGCCAGTACCCCCCGAACCCACCCAAGGCTGCCTTCTGGACCCAGCAGGCGGAGAAGGGACCTCTGGTGAGTGTACCTTTTAAAATACTATACATGGTTTAAAAGCAAGCATGTGAAAGGATTATTTTGCCCTGGCATTTGCGGTTCTCCTAGATGTAGTCCTAAAGCCTTTGCAAAAGGTTTCTGGGGAGGGCAGCCTTATTGCGTCCTTCATGGTAGGACACTTTACCACTCCAGGCCAGTAACACTTACTCGGGAATCATTGTAGAACAAAGCATTGCAGTGTATGTTTGCTGGCATTCAAACAACATCCGTTCTTTATCTCTCTGTGTTATCCTCACTCTCCTGAGGATTCATGGTCGCCTGGTTGAAATAGAGTGCTTTTCTTCAGGGGACACTCAGAGGAGCCCATTCCTGCTGGGCTGTTTGCCTGTGGCTAAACAGAAATGTTCCCCGCTGTTAGCCACAGGGAGGGGGGAAGGTTGAGGGGGTAGTCACGCGGTGGGAGGAGGCAAAATGCGACCTTGTAACGAAAGCACATGTGCTATGTATGTAATGTTAACAGCAAGGTTTACCCTGAAAGAGTGTAGCCACTGTTTTATAAAATGTGTCTTTTTAAATACCGCTGTCCCTTTTTTTTTCTCCACCAGCTGCATGTGTTTCAATGATCACAGGATCTTCTCCTTCCCAGAGGCTAGTGAAGCTTAGAAAGAAAAAAAAACTCACTCGCGATGAAATGTTCTCCGAGCTCATGCTGTCCTCCCACACTGACAGAGCACAGACGAATGCGTGGAGGCAAATAATGTCAGAGTGCAGGAAAGCACAAAATGACCGGGAGGAGAGGTGGCAGGCTGAAGAGAGTAAGTGGTGGGCTGAAGACAGGGCTGAAGCTCAAATGTGGCGGCAGCATGATGAGAGGAGGCAGGATTCAATGCTGAGGCTGCTGCAGGACCAAACCAGTATGCTCCAGTGTATGGTTGAGCTGCAGCAAAGGCAGCTGGAGCACAGACTGCCACTGCAGCCCCTCTGTAACCAACCGCCCTTCTCCCCAAGTTCCATAGCCTCCACACCCAGACGCCCAAGAACGCAGTGGGGGGGCCTCCGGCCAACCAGCCACTCCACCACAGAGGATTGCCCAAAAAAAAGAAGGCTGTCATTCAATAAATTTTAAAGTTGTAAACTTTTAAAGTGCTGTGCTTAAAGTGCTGTGTGGCATTTTCCTTCCCTCCTCCACCACCCCTCCTGGGCTACCTTGGTAGTCATCCCCCTATTTGTGTGATGAATGAATAAAGAATGCATGAATGTGAAGCAACAATGACTTTATTGCCTCTGCAAGCGGTGATTGAAGGGAGGAGGGGCGGGTGGTTAGCTTACAGGGAATTAGAGTGAACCAAGGGGCGGGGGGTTTCATCAAGGAGAAACAAACAGAACTTTCACACCGTAGCCTGGCCAGTCATGAAACTGGTTTTCAAAGCTTCTCTGATGCGTACCGCGCCCTCCTGTGCTCTTCTAACCGCCCTGGTGTCTGGCTGTGCGTAACCAGCAGCCAGGCAATTTGCCTCAACCTCCCACCCCACCATAAACGTCTCCCCCTTACTCTCACAGATATTGTGGAGCACACAGCAAGCAGTAATAACAGTGGGAATATTGGTTTCGCTGAGGTCTAAGCGAGTCAGTAAGCTGCGCCAGCACACCTTTAAACGTCCAAATGCACATTCTACCACCATTCTGCACTTGCTCAGCCTGTAGTTGAACAGCTCCTGACTACTGTCCAGGCTGCCTGTGTACGGCTTCATGAGCCATGGCATTAAGGGGTAGGCTGGGTCCCCAAGGATACATATAGGCATTTCAACATCCCCAACAGTTATTTTCTGGTCTGGGAATAAAGTCCCTTCCTGCAGCTTTTGAAACAGACCAGAGTTCCTGAAGATGCGAGCATCATGCACCTTTCCCGGCCATCCCACGTTGATGTTGGTGAAACGTCCCTTGTGATCCACCAGAGCTTGCAGCACTATTGAAAAGTACCCCTTGCGGTTTATGTACTCGGCGGCTTGGTGCTCCAGTGCCAAGATAGGGATATGGGTTCCGTCTATAGCCCCACTACAGTTAGGGAATCCCATTGCAGCAAAGCCATCCACTATGACCTGCACATTTCCCAGGGTCACTACCCTTGATATCAGCAGATCTTTGATTGCGTGGGCTACTTGCATCACAGCAGCCCCCACAGTAGATTTGCCCACTCCAAATTGATTCCCAACTGACCGGTAGCTGTCTGGCGTTGCAAGCTTCCACAGGGCTATCGCCACTCGCTTCTCAACTGTGAGGGCTGCTCTCATCTTGGTATTCATGCGCCTCAGGGCAGGGGAAAGCAAGTCACAAAGTTCCATGAAAGTGCCCTTACGCATGCGAAAGTTTCGTAGCCACTGGGAATCGTCCCAGACCTGCAACACTATGCGGTCCCACCAGTCTGTGCTTATTTCCCGAACCCAGAATCGGCGTTCCACAGCATGAACCTGCCCCATTAGCACCATGATGCATGCATTGTCAGGGCCCATGCTTTCAGAGAAATCTGTGTCCATGTCCTGATCACTCACGTGACCGCGCTGACGTCGCCTCCTCACCCGGTATCGCTTTGCCAGGTTCTGGTGCTGCATATACTGCTGGATAATGCGTGTGGTGTTTAACGTGCTCCTAATTGCCAAAGTGAGCTGAGCGGCCTCCATGCTTGCCTTGGTATGGCGTCCGCACAGAAAAAAGGCGCGGAACGATTGTTTGCCGTTGCTCTGACGGAGGGAGGGGCGACTGACGACACGGCTTACAGGGTTGGCTTCAGGGAGCTAAAATCAACAAAGGGGGTGCCTGTACATCAAGGAGTATTTCAGGCAGGACTTCATGGAGGGTTCCAATAAGAAATGGTGCACCTAAGTTACCGTTCTTATTGGAACAAGGAGGTTAGCCTGGCCTCTCATTGATACATGGCTGGATTTACCTCGCTGCACCTTCTCTGTGAGTGACTGCAGTGTGACCTAGAGGAATGAGTCCCCTAGACAGGGGAGGAGGCAAATGAGTACAAAACAAATCTGGTCTATTTCTTGTTTTGACCCACTCCATCTATCTTTTACATCTTTGGCTGGCAGCAGACGGTGCAGAAGGACTGCATGCCATCCACATCTCATGGCTGCTCGGCAGAAGATGGTACAGTACGACTGCTAGCAGTCCGTATCGCCTGCCTGCTCACCATAAGACGGTTCAATAGGACTGACTGCAGGACTAAAGAGAATGACCTGGTCAAGTCACTCCAAATTTAGTCCCTGCACCCATGTCTGCCCAGGCGCTCCCAGCCGACGTGGCCAGGAGCACCTCGGACATGACGATGACGGCTACCAGTCGTACTGTACCGTCTGCTGCCACAAGGCAAGGGGTTGCTGCTACTGTGTAGCAATGCCGTACCGCGTCTGCCAGCACCCAGGATACATAGGGTGACAGTTACCTGAGCGGGCTCCATTCTTGCAGTGGTATGGCGTCTGCACAGGTAACTCAGGAAAAAAGGCGCGAAATGATTGTCTGCCCTTGCTTTCACGGAGGGAGGGAGGGAACGGGGGCCTGACGATATGTACCCAGAACCACCCGCGACAATGTTTTAGCCCCATCAGGCATTGGGATCTCAACCCAGAATTCCAATGGGCAGCAGAGACTGCGGGAACTGTGGGATAGCTACCCACAGTGCAACGCTCCGGAAGTCGACTCTAGCCTCGGTACTGTGGAAGCGCTCCGCCGAGTTAATGCACTTAATGCACTTAGAGCATTTTCTGTGGGGACACACACACTCGAATATATAAAACCGATTTCTAAAAAAACGACTTCTATAAATTCGACCTTATTCCGTAGTGTAGACATACCCATTGAAGCATGCCTCTTCCACTAGACCTAGCAGTGTTAGGCCACTTACATTATAATTACTGCTTGCTAACAATAGTAAAGTGAAATTTATGAACTAAATGACTTATCCAGCTCTAATTATTTGGGTCTGAACAGTTTCACCTGGAACTAACTAGATTACAAGCCTTTTAAGGGTACAGACTGTAAAGTTCTGTGTCTTGTTTTAGTCACACAAGAAGGATGTGGTTTTAAAATCCTGCTGTATTTCCGTTTGCTCAGGCTGACTGCTAATGTGGGGCTGCCTAGCACAAAGGCATTGTCTCCCTAGCAAGGGACAGTTTCAAGAGGCTCAAACAATGAGACTGATGAAAATGAATTTAGCATTTACTCTATTCCTGGGACCCTGTCACCTATACAATGATGTAGCACTGAGACCTCTGTTGGTGTCCAGTTTCAAAAGAAAGAGAACAGCACAGTTAGCATCATTTCCAAGCAATAGCTGACAAAGAAGGTCTACTTTGTCAGGCATGGAAACTCCCTAAAGCTCCAGCACTTCTTAGATAGATATTATTGGTAGTTTACTGACTGTATACATTAATGTACCTTTGCCTTCTAAAGAGTTTTAGTGAATGGATGCTGGTGAACAATGCCAGACTGTTAGCAATGAAGACAACAGCTTAGACTCTGAGCTGAGACAGAGGAGTGCTTGGTACAGCTCAGGAAATGTCTTTAAGCCAGTCCTGTGTTCCCCGTGACCATTTGGGCATCTGCCACTCTGGTGGCCATAGGCAGCCAGTGGAAGATAAAGCAGCCTTTAGGAGTCTAGCTCAGTGCACAGTGGCCTGAGGAGCACAGAGGTGGATTGAACTCACCTTTGCAACCCTGTCTCTCCTGAAATGTGCAGTGTGCCCTATCTGGCAACAACAGAAGATCAGGGCGATTGTATTCAGTTCTAATCCACCTTCATCTAAACGTCGCCTTTGTTTTAAAAAAATTGTCAGTCCCTAGAGTGGCCATTTGAGACAGATTTCTTTGTCTGGCTGTCTGTCTGTAGCAGGTTCGGACGCCATGGGCACCACTGTGGTATCCAAGTGCCTAGAAATTCTGATCAGGTGCTAAGCTACTGCCCTCCCCTGGACTACATCTTACCCCAGTCCCCTTTAGCTTCCCAGAGTAACTCACTCTAATCAAAACTCTGGCCTGGAGTCTCAGTCACTGTTTCTGCTCCGTTGCTTTGCACAGGCCTGCGTTGCCAGGTCCCAGGCAATGAGCTCCTGGGTAATATTTTTCCCTTCAGAACAGCCCTCTGCTCCCTTACATTTCCTCCCTCTGAAGTGCCCTGCTCCTGTTTTTAAAGTCCTGCCTCCAGCTTCTGCAAGCCCTACAGGTATGGCTGGGTGGGCCCAGAGCTGTTCCTTAACGCCTTGCTCTCCAGTGTGTAGTTTGTACACCCTATCACACATACGGGCTTAACTGTGTCATTCAGCCACAGCTCACAGTAGAGGTATAGCAAAGAGCTATGGCCCCTGCCCTCCCAAGGGAGCACTGGAAGGTGCTACAGAGAACTCCAGGAGCTTGTGTTAACTTTGAGCCCGGGGTGTAGTTGGAAGGTTGATTTGTGGGATAAAACGCCAAGCTGTCACCCCTGGCCATGACTTGTGGGGCACAGGAAATGAGAGTAGACGTGTTCTCCAGCCAAATGGAATGCTTCTGTGGGCCTGCAGTCTACATGCCTGCTCCTGCATTTTGTGGGTGCCGTTCACTTGGCCATGCGCAGCGGGAGTGCTAGAGGAGTAGGTAAGGAGAAGTTCTCGATCTGTGCTCAGGGACTGCAGTTCTAGCTGGCCTACAAGTAGACCACACAAGGGAGGGCGGAGTCACTCACACGCACAAGGCTTGATGGGGGCCTTTCCACTGGCTTCAGTGGGTATTGGATCACACCCATGTCATACACCTGCAAGAAAGTCAGGGGTCAGAGCACGATCTGGTGTAAACTGTCAACGTGGCGTTGACTTCAATGGAGCTAAGACAATTGATACCAGATGAGGCTCTGTCCCCAGGCATTAGTTGAACTGGGCCCTAAAGAACACAACAGTACACAACATTAGAAACCCAAAATAACCTGGTGCCAAGAGAGCGCGAAATAATAAAGGAAACATGCTGCAGAAGCTTGGGATTGATGAGAGCAAAGGAATTCCTTATGTTTAAGATGCTTAGTGGCAACATGACCCTTGAATTTAGAGTACAGAGGCTACGTTTACACTCCGCATTTCTTTCAGCAGCGAGTAGAGTACGTACTCGGGTAGCCGCCCAGCACAGGTTTAAGTAGCAGTATAGAGGGCGAGACACAGCTTAGGCAAGGAGAGTACAGACACTCCAGAAGGGTAGGGTATGTACCGAGTAGGTACCTGGGACAGTGTGAGGAGCCTAAGGGATTATCTACACTCAGGCCATGT